TAGTAAATATATAGCTAAAATTAATATTTAAAATTTTATTAAAAAATTTAAAAATTAAAAAAATTAGTAAAAATCTTTGCAGGCAAATTTGCCTGTGTTACAATTTAAGAGATAGGTTAATACTAATTGTGGAAAAGATTAAAAATTTTTAGTTGCCCCTAAAAAATGACAATCTATTAGGGTATCCAGAATTTTGCAGTGCATAATTCTGCTCACTCTAAAAATATTTTTTTGTATTGTCTCCATAAGATAAGCATGACTTTAATCATTTTTTAAAAACTAAATACAATACAAAAAGATATTTTTAGAGCGAGCAGAATTATCAGTGTAATAATTTATACAACAAAAATAGGCGGAGAACACTATTGTTTTACATTTCTTTTTTTATGGCAACTGTAATATGCGGATATCTGTTAAATTTGTTTGAAAACGGATCACATCACATAGTCCAGGACGTATTGGTTTTTAATAGTCTCTAAAAATATCTATGTCTTACAAAGTTAAAACTTGCACTTATTGAAATATAAAGCTACTGTAAATTGTTAATTGATGTAGATTGTACTAACTGTAAGGGTCATTATTAAGCCAAAATTATTGTCAACTTGAATAGAAAAGAAAAAAACCATAATCAATATATATTAGATATATAACAATACACTTTGTTGGAAGTAAATTATGACGCCTATTCTGATTACTGGATCGCATAAATCCACATAACCTCGGAATGTCATTTTCCTAGCAAAGATCCCAAATGACGTAATTCGTGATCTTAGATCTGATTGGTCAAACTTATGCAGATCTTGTAAAATGACAATTTTTAATCCTTGAATTCAAATAAAAAAATTTATTTTAATTTTGCCTGAATTTATATGTAAATTTATATTTTAGTTCCGGAATTATACTTTTTAATTTTGCATAAATTTATATTATAATTTTGTCTGAATTTATATTTTAATTTACTGTATTAATTTACCCATTATTTGATTTCGGAAGGGTAAATTCAACTATAATATGCGTGACACAATACAGATCAATATTTGAAGCAGGACGTCTATCTTCCAGGTATCCTTTTTCTTCAACAGCAACATGACATGGTATACAAATTGAAGCACTGCGATTTGCAACCCCAAAGAAGAATTGAGATATATGACCAGTCTCATGATGACCTGTTAGATGCTGATCGTTACCTTCACCATAAACAGCTATATGTTTAGCATGTATTTTTGACATTTTGTCAATAGCTTTATAAATTGCTTTTATTCCACCTTCTTCACTCATTGCTTGTGTTAAAAAATTCGTATAACAACCTGCTCCATTCCAGTTACCTTTAATAGGTTTAGGATGGAAAGAGACCACTAAACCAAATCTTCGGCAACGCGTTTTAGCAGAAATCTTGCCATATACAGATGGTTACCAGTATTGGGCTATATGGACATTTGGACTTATTAAAAATAATATAGACAAATATGGACATAGTAATTTATGGACATGGACATATAGGTTTGGACATAGTCCAAATTTTTTAAAAAATATGGACATATACCAAGTGCTAACACTGATGGTTACCCATATCGATTCCTTCACAAGGACCAACTTTAAATTCACATTGTCCTAAAATTAAATAAATTAACATTATTATAAGCTTATATATGTTGCATATAAAGTAGCCACCCTATCTAAAGTAGCTACTTTATATAGAGTGGCTGCTTTAGATGCAACATATATCATTAATTTATAATAATTAATAATTGCCTGGCATGACTTCAGCGTTGACACTGGAAATTTTAATACCAGCATAAAGACAGGCACGATAGTGGGCTTCAACAATATCATGTCCAAAAGCTACGTTAGTACTGACAAAACAGTAATAAGGACCCTGAGGACCAGGAAAACCACCTTTAGGCCAGCTAAGAACATTGTTTTCCATATCAAAAAGGGTATATTCTTGTTTAATACCAAACCAAGGATGAGCATCGGTATAAGTTTTCATAATTTTAGCACAAGAGTGACAGTAATTCGTTGTATTAGGTGTTCTATCATTATTATAACATTTATTAAGAACTAAGATATTATCTCCACCCCTGAAAGGATCCTTAAAGATAGCAACAGGACGAAGCAAAACATCAGAGTTATCACCAGGGGCTTGATTGGTAGAAGAACCATCAAAATTCCACTCCGGCAATTGAGAGACGTCTGTAGGTTTTTTATCGAGAGTTTTGGTCTTAGCACGGAGGCCGCCATCGCTGTTGATCTAGATGTGCTCGGCTTGGACTTTGCCTCCTTGGTTGAGAGCAAGGTATTTAGAAAGGGTTTGGGTATTGGATTTGTTGCTTGTAGACATTGTTACTCTTAGTGAAAAGACTAATCTGTTTCATTACAAAAAAGTTGTACCAAAAACTAAAAGCAGAAAAATATAGAGTGGGCAAAAAAAAATTGAAGTTGTAAAGCAGTTGTTGGTTTTAAAATTGAGATATGAATCGAGAATTAAATATTTGGACAATTTAATTCATAAAATCATTAATTGTCTGTAAAGTATTATCAAATTAAATAGAAATTGATTTAATATTTGAATCATATTTGGCAATAGCATTAATATTTTTTTTAAATTGACAAGCATTAAAGAAACATAACAAGAAGAAAATAAAGTTCAACTATTTGATGTTGTTCATTAGAGTATTTTGGATTCTTCTTGCATAACACATAAATTGATAATTTAGGTTTAGTTTTTCGTTATCTATTTCATAGATTATTTCTTCTAATTCTTTGATTATTTTTAGTTCATCATCTAATTGAAGTATGTTGTTCATTCGATTATTTGTTTTCTTTATTATTTTATTTGAAGCGATTCTTTTGAAATTGCTTTCTTTACTCTAGTTTTAATAAAATATTTACTTCCTGGACTGCACTTTCTTTTGATAACATTATTAAACTATTTCTTTCTTCTATTCCATCATTTTGAAATAAAGGTGTTTCTAAATTGATTTTTAATAAATAAGCCACTTTCCTTAAATTTTCTAATTGATTTATTAGAGGCATTATCAGTAATGATCGATAAAAGGCTTGCCAATTAAGATAATTAAACAAATTTTCTGTAGGTCGAATTCTTGAATGATTTCTTAGCATTATATTAAAAATGTTACTTGAATAAATGCATTTAATTCAAATAATGAAATAATTTAAAATTCATTATAAAACATGTATGTATCTTTATTGTCACATGATAATTTTACTGACATAACAAAAGACTTGCAGCAATTATTTTATATGTTATGCTACAAGTTAAAAGTTGTAGAGCTCATTGAGCCGACTATATAAAATTTCTAGTTTACATAGAATTTTATATAGTTGGCCAACAGTTTTTTAGTGATATCTCAGTAACCACTGGTCCAATATGGATGATCTAACCACCATTAGATGCGTCTCAATGAGCTCTACAACTTTAATTAATTGACTTTGGTTGTTAACTTAATAAAAAAATACTTTTCATTTGACTCCGCTTAGATTCCAGCATAAAGAGAAATTTTGCCCCAAATTCTAATATAGAAATTCTGCCGATCTTATCCGTCAATGTCAAATGATACGTATTATGTATTAAGCACAAGCTATATAACAATAATTAATATTATCAATATTATCAATATTATTGTAATTTAAAAGGTATGAAATCGGTGCTAGAGTGTCCAGAATTCTGCAGTGTATAATCCTGCTCACTCTAAAAATATCTTTTTGTATTGTATTTAGTTTTTAAAAAATGATTAAAGTCATGTTTATCTTATGGAGACAATACAAAAAAATATTTTTAGAATGAGCAGAATTATGCACCGCAGAATTCTAGACACTCTAATCGGTACATATAATATAGCAAATAACTTGGTATTCACGTCTCTATGAATGTCGCCAAGTGAAAACTGGCATCCTTAAATACACTTGTAAATTCATTATTTGGTTTTATGTCCGATGATTTTATCAGTTCTTTTTTAATCTTCAAATCATCCCGTCTTTATCTGGACTAATTTTCAATAGTTAACCCGAATTTTTATTTATTCAAAGATATGCATTTTGTTTGTCAAGAAGTAGAATTGAAGTTAAATTAATTATTATTGATCGTGATTTAGCCCTACGTATTTTGAAATATTTTCATTTAGTAGACTATTTCAGTAAAAAGATTGGCGGTAACTAATATTTATAAAGAATTTTATGTAATAAAATTTGTATGGCAAAAATATATATTTATATATATTTAATAACCTGGAATGCTTCGAAGAGATCGAGTTCATATATGCCTTTCTTAAGTCCAATACTTTCATAATAATGATAATGTTCATAAGACCAGCAATTTTGGTTGTTTTGAATGAATAATTCAGATCTACCAAATGAAGAGCCATAATTTTTTTTACAGTAAATTGTATCTGAAAAGGATTTAACTCTACCTAATATTATATTTTTATCTTTACTAAATATAAAACTATATTCTGTTGATTTGTACAAACATTCATGAAAATGAAAATTACCATCACTAACATTATAATAATAATCATCTATTGACCAATCTAAAGGGTTATAACCTCCAATAAAACTACCTTCATTCTTTAACTTTCTAATCACGATTGTAGCACCTTTATTATCACAATTGCTGTGAAATTGAAATTTCTTATCTTGTTGTAAATTTTTTCGAAATAATAAATTAAATTTGTACCTATAATTTGTTGTTTCTTCTCTATCTATTCACTGCATTAACTTTATGAGTTGTTCTTTACATATGATCTCTAAGTCGATGTTTATATTGCCATAACGAATAAAATTTTGGGTTGCTTTTTTTTTTAAATAATTCTCATATACAATTTTTAATATGTTTCGGTAGTTTTGATTTTTGAATTTAAAAAACAATCCACTTAATTCTTCATAGGTTATTTGATCGAAGCGTACATATTTTAATATTTCATTGCATTCATCCTGATTGTTATATAACCATAAAATTACTTTATTGAGGATTTGAAGTTCTTTAAGATTTAAGTTATTCTTTGATATAACCAATTTTAAATGTTGAATAGGTATATTTTGAAATTTGTCAGCTGAAAAAAATAGTTTAGGTTTATTCAATATTGTTTTTACTACTGTTTCTTGCATATTATTATAGTTTTCAATAAAGCCAAGAATTAATAGCAAATCATTTTTTAATAATATTTCTATTTTTGTGTCAAAATATTGTCTTAACATAACAAGATACGCATCACTTATATACATTTCATCAGCTAATGAAAATGTGTTTATAAATTTTTTAACTCCCTGTGAGTTATATGGTTTTCTGAAATAAAGATATTGTAGTACATTATTCATACTCTCTTTTTTTGCATTTGGTTTCTTAATAATATAGAAATCATTTTTTTTACGGGCCCACGATTCAGATAAAACACTGTTAAAATATTGAGATTTTTGCTTAAGTATTTGAGAATTAGCATAAATATTTTTACCATCACCCACTATTATTATAGTATCTGCATTTTGTAATGTTTCCATATAGCTATAATATATTAGAATCGAGTTATACTAAGACAAATCTTTTTATTTAAGTCAGCTACATTCCCTTCCAGGATATATAAATTATAATAACTCCCGACAATTTTTAATCTATTTACACTTCATGAATAAAATTCAATTATGATTTAATTAAAGCTTTATAACACTATTTATGAAATTAGAATTTGAATTAATTGAGTCCCATCATTTGAAAATTAATTTAATTTTTTATTTACTTTAGATCTTTCAGATAATCATTTAATTTATTGAATTTTTCATTTAATTAGCTTGACTCTAAAGTGTTAGTGAATGCCTTTTGCAAAAACAATACGTGACTATTTATGCTAAATACTATAAACAAGTAGCGCAATAAGAAAACTGAAAATATATGCAGCAATTTTCTGCTTAAGTTGAATGGAATTCATTTGTAACATATAATTTCAACTCCAACATCTAATTTATTTGCGATTCTTCAAACTTTTTAAGCAAGTAACCCATAAACAATAATGTATTTTCATAAATTCCTAGAGAGGTTCGTTCTCTTGGACCAGCCACATTTAAATGCTCAATTTTATTGTTTTTTAATTTTAAAAAGAAGAGATATAAAAAGCGACATAACAAGAAGAAAATAAAGTTCAACTATTTGGTGTTGTTCATTAGAGTATTTTTTCTTCTTGTATAACACATAAATTAATAATTTAGGTTTAGTTTTTCGTTATCTATTTAATAGATTATTTCTTCTAATTCTTTGTTTATTTTTAGTTCATCATCTAATTGAAGTATATTGTTTATTCGATTATTTATTTTCTTTATTATTTTTATTTGAAGTGATTCTTTTGAAATTGCTCTCTTTACTCTAGTTTTAATAAAATATTTTACTTCCTGGACTGCACTTTCTTTTGATAACATTATTAAACCATTTCTTTCTTCTATTCCATCATTTTGAAATAAAGGTGTTTCTAAATTGATTTTTAAAAAATGAGCCACTTTCCTTAAATATTCTAATTGATTTATTAGAGGTATTAATGTTAGAATTTTTAGAATTTTGAAATATGATTAAATTTTATTCGTCATTTTTATTTTTTTTTAAGATTTATAATAAACAAAAACTAGTTAATTGAAAATTCAATTTAATGAAGAATTTTAGTTAAAATTTATTTAATTGCCATTATATATTGTAATCTAAATTTCACCGTTACAAATAAATTGCATTGAAATTATCTTAGTAGTGAACAATGATGTCTCAGTCGATAAATATATTCGACATCAAAACAATGAAATAATTAAATATTAAAATACTTGAAACAAATTAAATTAATTATTTAATTTAGAATTCAATTTAAAGAGTTAAAACTTCATATGAGTGACGGAAAGGAAATTATGCTTTTAATAAATCATGTAATTATACTTATTATTTTTTTTTAATGTTATTTGATAAGATGATTCAATATTTTAAATGTTCAATTACTTGATTTTAAAATACTTTTATTAAGAGAAAACATGATTAGTTTTTCTTTCTATTACTCTTTCATAGGTGTAAATTCACTTTTAATAATTATTTAATCAAATTTATTAAACTCAAACAATGCAATTGTTAAATTATATGTATAAGCAAAAAAAAAAAAAAAAAAAAAAGTAATTAGAATTGTGAACTACAATAGTTTTAGAGTACAAGTATTTTAGTTTAACTGTAAAAAATTTATATCGATAATGCAAAAGTATAAAAGAGTAATATTTCTGGTCTACTCATAAATAATAAGTTAATGAATTTTGACAATTTTTAAATATGGTTCTAGTTCTTTCCAATATCTAGCTATCGAACCTACTTAGGGAATAAAAAATTAGCACACGCTTCCGTATAATTAATATCGTTATAATCTTTATAATCATAATTATGACCCGCGCGATTTTTTATATATTAAAAAAATCGATTTATTTAACATTTATACAAAATTATTCATAATATTAATTTTTAATAAATATTAACTCGACTAGTTTTAAAGTACAATTTATAATAATATATTATATGACTTTTTACGAACCTGGAATATTTCATATTCTTCTGCCGAAAAATTCGATAATTTAACATGACATGATATACTTCTAATTGGTCTTTCATATACAATATACCTGATATTATGCAAACAAAAACAATTTTTATCAAAATTATCTCTCATAACTAAACTACTATTAAAAACTGGACCATATTCAGAATTATTATAAATTGCAACTTCTTTTCTAATTGGACGACTTAAAATAGAATTTTGGATATTTCCATTTTTTAATGAAAAAATAAAGGCATCATTGCATGATTTTCTTGTAAATCCTTGTTTTGGTCTTTCCCAACCAACTGAATTATATCCACCGAGAATTTTATCAGTTTTTTTGACCTTTATAACGACAACAAGATTTTCTTGCTTATTGCATAAATTCCAAAAAGAATCTTTAATAAAACCATCTCTGCCTCCATGAAGAAGTAATTTAAATTCGTAGGGATTATTTACCACAGAATATATATCAGATTTTTTATCAATCCATGAAGCAATTTCAGCTGCATGTGCTTCATTAATAACTGCTGAAAATAGTTTAGTTGTTTTTGTTGGTAATTTTTGTGTTAAGATAATGCGAGGTGGGAGAATCTTCGATAATATAGGTTGATTGGGAAGGCCAATCGCCTTTTAACATCTTTCCAAAGGTTTTTATCAAGAATTTGTTTATAAGGATATACTTGATTATAAACATCATCACCAGACATTTGAAAATACCTAATAAGAGGCAAACAGTTTTGTAAAATATTCTTTAAGATTAGAAAATTTTCAGGAGACCAATTTTTAGAATTAGATGGTAAACCTGGATTCTGGACAATTCCCTATTTGATGACATAATTCCAAATTTTTATTTCTTCTATTTGTAAATCATCTCGTTTGATAAGTATCACTAATGCATTTTCTGGAAGTGAAGTAAAATCATCAGAATCAAAAGCTTGTTTTATGCACTATCTTTGTAATTCTTGAAGAATATCATTTTGGAAAATTTTTTGATAAATATGATTAAAATGTGAACGAAGCCAGTAATCTTTCGTTTCAGTCAAATGAGTCTCAAGGCATTTGACTAATTCATAAAGTTGGAACTTACAAGCAACAAGCATTAGCTCAAAAATAAATAATGTATCAAGGTTTTCTATTAAAATCACACCACCATATATATATCTTTAATAAAATTGATAAAGTTAAAATATACTGACATTAAATACAAATCATAAAATTTAGTAACTTACTTAATAATGATATCAAATTGTTGAATAGAAACATGATTTAAAACAATCGTTTTAATATTATTTTTATCTTTGCTAATTTTTGCTAGTTCATTATGGAAATATAATGATCAATATTTTAAAATAACAGAATGTGTTTTAAATGTCTTGATGTAGGGAGATTTTCTAATATTAATGATTATATTAAATTCTTCTTTATCATTAAGAAGTTCTATATAATCTTTTGAAAGGTTTTTAAAAATTTCTGCCATTTAGATTAAATATAGCGATAGTAATTTAAGATTCATTTATAAATCAGCGATCTTCATAGTCAGAACCAGTTATAAGTAACTGTAACAGTAAATCAAATCACTTTTTTGAAATCTAATAACTAAATAGTATCGGTATCGCTTTAATATTAAATTTAAATAAAATCTGGGTTCTGTCACAGCATGCGACAAATAGATTATTTTAATAAAAAAATTTTTTTTAAGAATAACCTCTATTTTAAAAATATATGAAAATTATATAATAAAAGTAATAGTTTTATTTTTAGAATAGTCATGACAATTTTAATTATAAGAGTATTATATTGGTTGATAATGCCCGGGAGCGAAGTTTCTAAATTGAGGAATATTTTCATCAATTTTTACTCTTTGTTCTGCTGGCACGATTGTTATTTTCTCCATACTATCTAAAATGTTATTCCAATTATTAACGATACTTTTTAAACCATTTCGAATTTCCCACATCATTGAAATTAATTTCAATCCTCTGGACAGTTGTAGGACGTGATTTTTAGTTGGGAATGGTATTTTGATATTATGGAAAGTAGTACATATCAGCGGATAAGCTCTTCGGTTACTAATTGTCGAAATTAATGATTCTAAAAATATTTATTTTGATGAGTAAAATTATAAACATATTAATATTAAAATAAGAATATCTATGAGTAGATTGAATTGTAATAAGAGAAGTATTGTAAATTTTTTTGCAATTTCTTCATTTATTTTATTTCCATATCCCTTAGCAGCTCGTCAAGATTTAGTTTTATTAGCTGCTGGAGTTTTTCTGCATCTTCTTGACACTTTTTTCCTTTCAATTCTGGGTTTGCACCTTCCACATAGAGAATTTCGAACTGGTTGTCTTCAAGTTTTAATCTTACAGTTCTGTCAGGTTTATGATTTTCTTCATTTCCAAAGTGTCTCGAAAAAGTAGTGCATGTGCTGAAATGTAAAAATATTAGATGGTAAAGACTTTTTATTATATGCTAAAATAATTTTTCTTGTTTACGAGTGAACAGACAGCCCAGGAATGTTGCGCACAGCTGCTTCTAAAAATTGATGAACTGTATCTGTCAACCAAGTTTCCTCTGAAATTTCCTTTATGGAGATATCTTTATACTTATTGTTAGGCCAGTTTAAAACCAAATAATGAATTTAATAAATTAATTGAAGCAGTTATAAGTTCTGATTTGGAACAGTTGCCTGAAAATGAACCACTCCGAAGTTGGTACATCAATGCCGATGCTATCCCTCCGATTGTGTTTAATCAATTTCCATCTGAATTTAAACAACTTCGTATGATTAATAAATATAGATTTATTCTTCCTGATGATATTAAAATTTGGTTTGAAAATAGTTGGGAGATGATTTAACATCACCGAATTTAAACAAACTAAAGTATAATAGGGGAGACGAAATATTCTTTCTACAAATGTTATACACCACGTGAGTGTTTAATTTTGGACTTTTTTATTAAACGCAATTCTAACAAAAATTTATTTTAGTCGAAATATATTCTTATTGTACTTGAGATGATGCAATTCTTCCTTTGCTATCTTTTTGAGGTTCCATTTTCCAACAAGATACCAGAAACCGAAGTGTTTGCTTTCTGCCTAAAATAAAAAATGCTAACAGAATCAATTCTTTATAATAACCCTTGTAATATTAAAAATAAATGTCAGTCCTCATCGCAGGGTTTTTAAATCAATCATTAGTTTTGAATGAAAATGTATAGTAATGTCGAAGTTCAGTTGCCCAAAACTTTAATAAGGAGTGAAATAGTAATGTTAAAGTTCAGTTGCCCTCTAGTAAGGAGGAAATAGAAATAATAAAGTTCGGTTGCCCAAAACTTAACTCAAAAAATCATAAAACAAGAAATAATAATAAAGCCCGGTTGCCCGAAACTTTAAAGCAATGGTGAAAGGTTAATTATAAAGTCCGGTTGTCCGAGACCTATAGATTAACAATCCACCTAAATTAAGTAATGTACAACGATAAAAAAAAAACCTGGTTGTTCTAAGATCTTAATCATCGTTTAATAGGCTACTGTATCTAGCCATTAGATTTACCTGTTTAGTCTTAAAATTGGTTACTTCGCTTTCTGCATTTTCATAACATTTAATGGCAATGTTCTTTGAAAATATCTGATACACAACCTCCTTAAACCAATATAATGTATTCTAAATTATGAACGTAATAAATGTTTTAAGGTTAAAACAATTTAATGAAGTTTTTTGGGTGAATTCCTAAAAAAAATTTATGATAAGTATGCTAAAGTTCGGATTAAGAATTTAGGTACATTTATTTGGATATTACCAAAAAGTCGTCAAAGGTTAGAGCACTGAATGGGGAGGCATTTTCAAATGCACCTTTTTCAATACACAACATGCCATAAAAATATTAGGATATGTAACTGTAATTATAAAAAAATACTATAGATATATACCCTATTATTAAAACATCTTAAATAAGAATCAACAATTCACACCCCTATATGTACGTAATTATATAGAGGTCTAGTGATCTACATATCATCATAATTCTGTCAGGCAGAATCAAATTTTAATTTCAAGCAAAATTAAGTTTAATTCCGGGCAAAATTAGATATAACTTAAAGATACATTTTTTAAATATAATTCCAAGTAAAATTAGACATAACTCAATACTTTCAATCATAACTCTAGAATCAGATTTTTTTTTTTTTTTATTACTATATCCTTAATTGTCCTAAAAAGCAGTAAATGCCTTCCATCTGTTCAACTGCCTCTAAAAATTTAAATATCATTTTTTTTATTAATAAAGTGAAAATTTGCAATACGTGCCAGAATTATGCTTATCTAAATTTCGAAATTACATCCCTAGGCGTGCAAAATTTATGTGTTATTTGAACACATAATATTGTTGTTACCATAATTTGGGATAGAAAGAAAGGTAATTATTTTACTAGTATGTATAATATATAGATCACACATATATATTAGCTTTACTAAAAATTTTTCTTTTTATTTCATTTCAATGTTAGGTTCTAATTTTTCATTAATTTCTTTAATAAATTCAAGTTTATCAATCATTATTAATATAATGCTAACTATCGTACAAGCTAAATATAACCACATAGAAATAAAATTCGCCGCTCGAATTTTACAAGATATTTTACTTTTTGAAGATTTAAAGTCATACTGACAATCAAACGGGATCAGATCAATTTCATATATAGTAAAGATGGTGTAAATAGCTGGGTTAAAAAAGTCAAGTTAGATAGTAATAATTAGAAATTTTATAGTTTTAAAAACTTACTTGGTAAAACAAACCAAGCTACTGCTATAATAAATATTAAAGCTCTAGAACAAAATATTGCTTATAAATTTTTATTATCTGTACTTTCAAAGAGTTTATAAAAGTAGATAAAGTACCTAGCATCTTTCATATTAAAAAACCAATAGCAACACATTATTATCTAAAAAAATATTTGTTATATTTTTTGAGGTAAAAAAGTATTAAGTCATTTACTAAAAATTAAAAAAAATAATAAAGTTCCTACTAACGGTAACCAAGTAAGTGCTATGTAGCTAAAACATTCATACCCATCACAGAAAAAAAGAAAAAAGAAAAGAAGAAAAGAAAAAAGAAAGAAAAAAAGAAAAAAAGAAAAAGAATATTAATCTACTAAAATAAATTTATAACAAATTGTTAAAAAATTAGTTTGATCTTACGAATATTCAACACCTTTATTATAGTTAAGTTCTCCATTAGTTTGATCAAACATGAGGACCTTTGCCAGTGCTATATTAAAAAAAGAATATAAACACTGTTACAGAGTAGTAGCCTTCTTAATTTACTCTATAACGACGACACAGCACAGGGAATCCTTTCGTAGGTATATG